CAGCGCCCCGAGTGGCTCAGGACGCCGCAGGCCCGTGCACAGAGCAGGCCAGGGAGAGGAGCCGAGGGCAGGGGCGCGGCTGGACAGCGCGGTCCCGGCCACGGGCCTGCTCTGCCTCGGTCTCCTGACGCAAAGGGCCCTTGGAGGGCCCTCTCAGCCGGGTGAGGCTGTCGCGGGGTTCCCAGGGCACGGTGACAGGCACCGAGTCCACCCCGAGGCCTCCAGGCCTCTGCAGACTCGGTGGGCGCCCGGGGCCCGGTGTCCTTGATGGGTCTCGTGGTTGACGGCGCCTCCGCAGGCCCGCGGGGTCTCCGAGGACAGCCTGGCCCCCGCACCCTGTCGGGCACCCCGGCCGCAGCAGAGGTGAGGCCCGGCCAGGGCCGGCTGGGGTCCCGCACACGATGGCCTCCTGCGGGGCCCTCAGCCTCGCTGCCTGTCGCTCGCCCTGGGATCTATTTTAAAATCAGCTTTTTTACCCCTGAGCATTTTACATCTTCCGTTTTGTGCTGGCTAAGAGACGTTGATAGCAACGTCGGGCTGCTGTGACCCCATCTCCTCGGCAATCCCGTCTAACTTGCCGCCACCCTAAGCAGAGGGGGCCCCCGGGACCCGTAAAAACAAGAATCGCCTCAGCAGACAGGCACAGAACTTGAGGCAAAGGCCTTGCGGCGTTGGCGGGAGCTGCGAGGCCTCTGGCCCGTCGGCACAGTGGGTGTGTTGACACCGACCCACGGCCCCTGTTTTGCAGAAATACTCCCTGAAGCCCATGTCCCTGGAGGATGCCGTGAAGCTGATCCAGGTCGCCGAGCGCGCCCGGCAAGGCCGGCTCAGGGCCCTGTTCATGAAGCAGATCTTCCTGCGGGAGTTCCGCGCCAAGCAGGCCCGGCTGCTCGGCGACAAGATGGCCGACACGGGGGCCGCGGCGCTGCGCATTCAGAAGGTGCAGAGCGGGGGGCTCGGAGTGGGGGCGAGGGCCTCCGCACCCCAGGACCTAGGTGGGGGCCCCCGCCACTCAGATGCCTAAAATTCCGCCTCTAGTGGAACTATATTGAATTCCGGAAAGATCATCTTACCCTTGGAAAACTGACACAAACTCGGGCCTGCTTTTAATATCTTAGGACACATCTGAGCCGCTAGTAAAATGCGCTATCGATGTTGTTATGGTAAATTATTTTAAATGTTTAGTGTCGGATGGAAAATGCAGAGCATTTTATTCAAATATTTTTCCGAAAAACCACTGCTCGTTGTTGGGGAGAACACCACAGAGAGCCGCCAGGATGCAAATTCTTGATGGAGGCTTGGAATGTGGAAATTCCCGGAGTGGGGCGCACAGGCCTGTCCCAGCACAGCCTGCCTCAGCAGGGAGCAGTCAGCCCACCAGCGCTGCCGGCACCAGGCCTCTGGGGCCCGGCCTGGCCTGCGCTCTGGAATGTCCACGCCCTCCCTGCCCGCCAGCGGGCACCCTGACGAGCCCCCACCCCTGTCTGAATGGAGGCTAGCTGCTGACAGGGAAATGCAGGCGATGGCGGTGTGACTCAGATGAGACGCGGCTCCCAGAGTTGGTTTGGGACACGAGACAAGGGCTTTGCCGGATTTGTGCTGGGATGGGAGTGAGGGGAGAGCCGGGAGGGGGCAAGAGGCCTCTCTGGGCAAGTCTGGCCCCAGCCCTTCGCGGCGCCCTCTGGGCCCAGAGCCTGGGCTGTGCAGTCGGGCGCGGCTGCAGACGTGTCTTCGAGATCACGATTTCATTTCCTTTTGCTCTGTATTTGGAGGTGAGGTTGCTGGCGCATGGACGAATTCTACATTTAGATGCAAAATCCATCACTTCCATGGCGGCCACCCAGATTTACTTCCTGCCCAACACCGGGAGGGGCCCTGTGTCCACATCCTGCGGGCGCCTCTCGGCCGGGTCTTTTCCCTAATGGCCATTCTCGGGTCAGGAGAGTCCTCGCGTGGTGGGCTTGCCTTTGCCTGCCCGGGAGTGTGTCACCTTTTCACGTCCCCGTGGCCGACTTTATGTCTTGTATGGCTTCGTGTTTAATTGCTGTTGTGGTTACTGAGGTGTTAGTGTACTTTGCTTGCAGACCTTTCGTCAGCTGTTGGCCTTCCCCATTCTGCAGGCTGACTTTCCATTTGATTGTTTCTTTTCACCGGCAGAAGTGCTTTAGTTTGATGTCATACCACGAATTTCTTTTTCTTTTTTTGTTTGTTTGTTCCTTGGGTATAACACCCAGAACAATTTGAACAAGACCAATGTTAAGGATGATTTTCCCCATACTTTCTGCTAGGAGATTCATGGTTTCAGGCCTTACATTTATGCCTTTAATCTATTTTAAGTTCACTTTTGCGGCAGGCGTAAGACAGGCGTCCACGTCCATCATTTTGTATGTGAATATCCAAATTTCCCAGTATCGTTTATGGGTAATTCTGTCCTTTCCCCACTTAGTGTTTTAAGTTCCCTTCTAGAGTTGACAATATTTGCGTGCTTTATTTCTAGGTATCAGTTCCGTTCCTCTGCTCTCTGTGTTTGTGCCATGCTGCTTTGATACTGCAGCTTTGAAATGTAGTATGTCATCAGGACGTGTGGTGCCGTCAGCTTCCTCTTCTTTTTCATGCATGCTTTGGCTATTTGGTCTTTGTGATTTCATGCAAAAATTAGAATTACTGTTTTCTATTCTTGTGGTAAATGCCAATGAAATTTTCATAGTATCACATTAAGTCTATAGATGGCTGGCTTTGATTCAGACTGCATTAAATTCCACGATGGTTAGCTATTTTAGCAATATTAATTGTTCCAAGCTGTGAACACAAGTTGTCATTCCATTTATTTGTCTTCTTCATTTCCTTCCATCAGTGTCTCAGTTTTCAGTATTAAGATGTTTCACCTCTTTGGTTTAATTTAATCCTAAATATTTTGTTTTTTCTTCATGCTATTGGAAAATGGGATTGTTTTCTTTATTTCTCTTGTAGATGATTCATTATTAGAGTATAGCAATGCAACTGATTTTTATATGTTACTTTCATATGCTGAAAATTCATGATTGGGTTGTGGGGAATGTCATGATGTATTTTTTCTGTTTTTCAAAGAAAATATATGTCATGATTTTTCCAACAGCCCAGTATTATTTCTGATAGTTTTTGACATCTTTAGGATTTTCAGCATAAAAGATCATGTCATCTGCGAACAGAATGTTTTACTACCCTTTATGGTTTGGATGCTTTTTATTTCTTCCACTTGCCTCGTTGCTCTGAACACTCAATACTGCGTGGAGCGGTGCTGTGCTGGTAAGAGTGGTCACTCTTATCTTGCTCCTGATCTTAGTGGACAAGTTTCAACATTTCACTCTTGAGTATGTTAGTGGTGGGTTTGTCCTATGTGACCTATATTATGTTGAGGTATCTCCCTGACATAACTAGTTTGTTGAAGCTTCTATAATGAATCGGTGTGGAATTTTGTAGAGCATTTTTCCTGCATCTGTTGAGAGAATCATAATTTTTATTCTTTATTAGGGTATGTACCATATTCAGTTATTCACATATATTAAACCATCCTTGCACCCAAGGGATAAAGTCTACTTGATCATGACAGATGGTCCTTTTAGTGAATATGTTTTGCTGGGAATTTTTGCATTGTGTTCACCGAAAGGGAGGGTCAAGTGACTCCATGTATTTGGGAGAGTCACTGTGATGCTGTTATGTTCTGAATTTATCGTTGTTGAGAGGTTTTGATTACTGTTTTTGTCTCAGTCATTATTGGGCTGTTCTGATTTTTGTTTCTTCATAATTCAGTCTTGGTAAATTGTACATTTCTTGGAATTTATCCACTTCTTCGAGGCTTGGTAAATTGCTGCTCTATAATGATTCATCGTAGTCCCTTATAGCTTTCATAGTTCAAGTATCTGAAGGTCTGTATCTTTCTGACTTGGGAAGTTTTTAGTTACTTTTTTTGTTTATTTTTGGATCTACAACTGGGGTACAGGCCAGAGGTGCAGAGGTGGTGAGAGGCTTCACTGGGGAACAGAACAGGCCAGTGGACAAAGTCCACTGCTGAGGGGAGCAGCGGGCAGGTCAGGAGGGGTCTGCCGCGCCCTGGGGATCACCTCTGGGGCGGGGATCGAACTCATACTGAAGTAGCTTTAGCTTCTTGGTGCTGTGTATTAACC